CATTTTCCTCTCATTTCCAATGTTGCTTTTGATGAGTCTAACATCATTATTATTATTTCTACTTCTTTGTATGTATGTGTTTTTCAAAAATCTTTCACAATTTTTTTTTCTAAAATTTCACTGTTATATATTTTGGTAATGGCCTTTTTAATTCATTTTATTGAGTCCTTAATGGACTCTTTAATTTTAGGTTTTTTTGTTTTGTTTTGTTTTTAGTATGACTGTGAAAATTTTCCCCTTTCTGTTTTCTTCCCCTACTGGATTCCTATTAATTGGATGTTAATTTTTCTGTTTGAGTCTATAACATTACCTTAAAAAGAACCCTCTTTTATCTTATTGGCCTGTTTTCTGGGATACTTCCTCAATTTTGTATTTCAACTCTTGTATGAATTGTGTATTTGTGTGTTTACCATATTTTTAATTTTAAAGGACTTTATCTTTGGTTATCTGAATATTCCTTTTGTTCTTGCTTCATGGATTGTCTCTTATTTCTGTGAAAGTATTAATTACAGCTTTTATTGAAGATTCCTTTTGTTTTCTGCATTATCTTTCCCCCTTCTGGGTTTTTTTTGCGTGTGTTTCTTATTTTGTCTCTATGTTCAGGTTGGAGATTCCCTTCAAATGTCTGGGGATCCTGGCTCTCTACTCATATCTAAGAATGAAGCTCAAAAAAGAGGTTAGAAACTGAATAGAGCTTTCCTAGTGGTGGGCTTCCCCATAGGGTGTTGGTCAGGGATACTGCTGTCTGATTGGAGAGCTGTACATATCAGAATCTGCAGGTCTTCTTACTAGTGCTGTTCAATTTCTCTAGAGAGGTAACCTTGTGTTCTAAGCCAATTTGGAGGACAAGATCTAGAGGCTTCACTGCTCCTTTTAAAAGACTTTCAAACAAACCTCTTATTTGGTTTCATCTATCACTTCCACCTCCAGGAATGCCTCTTAATTTCTGAGCCTTTCAAGATTACTGTAGTGCAAATTAGCTTGATTCTTTTGACTTCTGTCTATACTCCCTCACTGTGCCAACACACACACACACACACACACACACACACACACACACACACACACACCATCACTTGAAGGCTCAGAACTTTCTACATTCTGATAAACCAATTATCACTTGTTCAGTTGCTTACCTGAGTGTAAATTTTTTGACATCATTTGTCTGCTTTTGTATCTCTTTCTTTGCTTTTGTCCTTTTGAGTTTATGCCTCTTTTATTCCTTTATTGTCCTGTTAGTGGAATCACAAGAAGGAGTAGAAATAAGCAAATGCATTTATTCAGATAAACTATATTTATAGCTCTTTTGGTGGCTCATCCAGTTCAGTGTTTAACTTTGGCTCAGGTCATGATGCCTGGGTACTGGGATCAATTCCTGCTTGGGGCTCTGCACTTTGCTGGGAGTCTGCTTATCTCTCTCCCTCTGCCCCTCCCCTGCTCATGCTCCCTCTCTCTCTCTCTCTCAAATAAATAAATAAAGTCTTTTAAAAAACCCTATATTTATAGCTCTTTTCATTCTACAACCCTATTTGCTTTGGTGTTGTAACTGGCTATGAAAAAGCCATATTTTTATGCTTTTGTCTCTCCATTCCAAGCCATTTTGACAGGATAATGAGAGGAGACTGAAGAAAGGATGCCATTTGATTTTTTTTTACCTCAAATCATTGACAATTTTATTTAATATATTTTTTAAAGATTTTATTTATTTATTTGACAGAGAGAGAGAGAGCATAAGCAGGGGGAGCGGCAGGTAGAGGGAGAGGGAGAAGCAGGCTCTCTGCTGAGCAAGGAGCCTGATGTGGGGCTCTATCCCAGGACCCGGATCATGACCTGAGCCTAAGGCAGACGCTCAACCGACTGAGCCACCCAGGCGCCCCTTATTTAATCTTTTAGTGAAAGATTTCTATGTGACTATTAGTATTTGTCTTCATACCTGTTAGCATCCAAGCTGGCTTGTAAATTGTGTCCCATTTACTCTGATCATATTTCCACATCTTGGTCTCTCTTGACTTCTCAATGAGAGTTTCTCTTTTTCCTCTTTTCTCCATGGCTTCAATTCCATGGTGGTTTTGTCCCTTATACTGACAAGGGTGACTACAATGCTGATGTCACAAAAGTGCCCCCCATCAAGTTTACATATGGCATAAAATAGCTTTGCACATCATGTTTACTGGTTCAGTAAACAAACATTTATAGAATTTTAAAAGTTGTTTAGTTCCTGAGCAAATGCTACTGTGTACTCAAATGCAGACATAGAAAATAATACCTAAGCTACCTACTAAAAGTTATTTGGATCAAAAGTCTGGGCTTGCCATTTGATATACAAGACCAAATACTGTTACTGCCCAGTTGCTATGACAAAGCTACATATGAAAAATGCTAGCAAAACAACACAACACATCCGAGTGTCTTATTTGTTGAAGTCAGCAAATACTATAGACATTCAGAGCAGGAGGTCAAAGGGAATAGGAGCAGAAACCACAAATGTTTACTGAATTCCTATCCCATGACGCCTGTATTTTAGATGGTTTGGGAACACATTGAGGGAGAAATTTTTAGCCACTTGGGTTGGCCTTTAATGATGTGTTGAATTTGTATGGAGGGAGAAGAAAAATACAACCCATGCAAGAAGAAGGTGGACCCCAAAATACAGTGCCAAAATTGATGCCTGTGTGACTTGGAAAGGTGAGGGCAAGGCCTGTCTAGATTTGGTGTTCATGCTTAGGAAGAGCAGGGAATGAGATTGGATTGTAGTCTGAGGCAAGAGCCAACAAAGGTAAGAGAACCTTCGTTTTCAGAAGAAGGAAAAGTAGCACATTGCATTTCAGAAGTCTCTCAATATAAGACACGACTTTGATGCATTTTTATGATGTTAAATGTGGATACATTTACATAACCCCTTCAGAACTGCAGCGTCTTATTTTTGGTTGTTGGTTTATTTGCTATTTGCTCTGCAAGTATCTCTTTTACTTGGGGAAGAAGAGAGAAAATGGGGTGGTTTGTGTTCTATTTATATTGTAGGAAAAAGGATGGCAGGTGATTTATCCATAGCTCTGGCAACTATGGGAAAGATCCCTGGCCTTTCCAGAACAGAAGAAGGTGGGTTGGTTACTTTGCAGGACTTCACGTGATCTTCATTTCAAACAATCTTTATTAGGCTCCACTATGTTAAGATATAACTTTGGAATTTCACAGTTCCTGTCTCTACTGATTTACCTAAATAGGAGAGATTTCTGGGGCATACCTGGTCATGGAGGGCAGTGGGTCATTCTCCTAAGAGACCTTAGTAGTGTTGGAGTATTAAGACTATGGTGGTCGTTCCGTCATTTTTGGTAAATAACTTTCCAGCAACTTCTCAAGTTTCACCTCTCAGTGGAGAAAGATGCTGGAGAAAGATACCAGGCCTCTTAGCAGTCAGCAGAGATTGCGCTGGGGCGCTGCAGCCTGGTCCGCTGAGCAAATGGAGCTATGGCCCTGGATTTTGGTTTCGTGATGACTAAGCTGACCCGGTTAGTAGGCTGCTGGGTTTCTTTGTCCCTGCACTTTCTGCTTGATGAGATGCTTAAGCAAATGGAATAGACAACCGCTAGGAGGTACCCGAGCTATGCGTCTACCGCCGGGGCGAGCAGAAATGGCTAACTGTGGGTCCCTCGGGTCCGCGGGTACAGGCTGGTGGCGCTTTTCCAGGGTCGGGGCTGCGATTAGCTTGTGGGTGGAGCGAAGGAGAGGTCTAAGAACAAACAGCCCTTTAATCTAAAAGGCGGAGGAGGTGAACGCCTCTCCAAGGCATTATCGTCCCCGAGGTCTGCGAGCTTGGGCACCAGCTGGCTGCACATCTGGATGCAGCAGCGCCTTTTGCTGCAGGGCGGAGTCGAGGCTGAGGATCCCGGTGTGCACGCACCTCGTCGTGCGCGCGCGTGCGGGTCCGTGAGCATTGGAGTGTGTGTATCTGAGTGTGTGTGTGCGCGCACGCGCGCATGAGTGTCGGCTGGAGCCGCGGCTCCGGGATCGGGTAATGGGGGTGGGGGCCCAGGAAGGAATAAATCTCCGCCGGCCTCCTTGCGCCTCACTGCGGGTTAATAACCAACCAGTTATAGAGAGACGAGGGTGTCGGCGGCAGGGTGACAGCCCCGGCGTGCCGGCTGCGTGTGGAAGGGTCAGGTTATCAGCCAGTCTCTGCCACACTCAAATATATACATACATTGGGGGTGGGAGGTTATTTATTGTTTGCCTCTATCTCCAGAGAACAAGGGCGGGAGGGAGAGGCGCGCGCTCCAAGCGAGCGTCGCGGATCTGAACGGGTTGAAGGAGGCAAATTTGCGGGTGGGGGAGGGCGGGGGAGACCTTGATTTCCACCAATCCCCGGGCATTTGTCTGCGAAGTCCGGGGCGCAGCGGAAGGCTGCGGCGCGCCGCTGAATTAACTGATGAGAGCGAGTTCTTTTCTTCTTCGGGAGGGGTGGGGAGCGAGGGCCCTGGCGGGCAAGGCGGAGAAGCCCGGGGCAGGATAGCGGTCCCGGGCTGCCTTGGAAATTTCCAAGGACTTGGTGCGTCGCGGAGAGCGCATCTGGGGGGTGCTTGGCGGTGCAGCAGCGCAGGAGGCGGGGAGAGGCGGCGAAGGGCGCAGGAGCATCTCTCAGAAGGGGACGCCGCGGACCAGTTGTCAGGGAGGGAGCCGAGCCTCTCCCCGGACCCGCGCCGAGGGCGACAGTGATGCTGCAGAACCCGCGGGAGCGACTCACCGCGGCCGCTCTCTGCGCTTTCGGAGACCCCATCGCCCGCCTTCTGCAGGGGAAGCGACCATGACCAGAGCTCGTGACTCGCCCCCCGACCACTTCCCCTAGAAAGAAACCCTTGAAAAAGTTGCATTTAAAAAAATCCTTGCGCTGACCTTTGGGGCCGTGGGGGCCGAAGAAACGTGCGTGCGAGTGCAAACAAGAAAGCGAAAGGTGTGTGTGCATGGGGGGCCGGCCGTGGGGGGACCCTCCGCTGCCACTTTGCCTGACGCTGTGCTGAGGCCGCCCCCCGGGACCCCGGGGCTGCGATGAGCCCCTGCAGACGGGCCCGGCGACACACGTCCAGAGGGGCCATGGCAGTACTAGCGTGGAAGTTCCCGCGGGCCCGGCTACCGGTGGGAGCCAGTGCTCTTTGCGTCGTGGTTCTCTGTTGGCTCTACATCTTCCCGGTCTACCGGCTGCCCAACGAGAAGGAGATCGTACAAGGGGTGCTGCAACAGGGCACGGCGTGGAGAAGGAACCAGACGGCGGCGAGAGTCTTCAGGTACTCCTCCCCTCGCGGCTCCTCCCAGCTCGTGTCCTTTACTCCCCGTGCGCCGAGGACAGGGTCACTGGCTAGGACCGCCTTGCAGAGGCATCTCGTTCATCCAGTGCTTCTTGTCCTACTCCCTTTCTTTGCCATGTCTAAACCTGAAGACTTTAGTCAGGGGTCCTTCCCCACCCCTTACACCAAGACATGTGCCGACACCTGCTTTGCCCACATAAAGCCTGTGAGCATTTCTTCCCCAGCCTAAGTTATAGTCAGTGATTCGTCGGTAACTGGTGGGAAGGAGAATCCAGGCGAACTTTGTCCTTTGCACTTAATGAGAATTTATCTCTTGGGCTCTGCAGATGTTTGAAGCTATGGAGAACTAGAAGGTAAGAGGCATCTTCCTGAGGTTAGGTGAGTGGTTGGTAACATAAATCACTAATGAGGGAGTGATGGGCAAATCTTGGGCAGGAAAAAAATGGACACCTATCCACCGTCCTTCTGCTTTGTGCAGTGTGCCCATGACAAAACACAAAGCACTTACTGATCCTCTACTAAGAGCCGGGTACTGTGTGATTTTTATTGAAGACTCAACAACTTTTCCAGTAACAGATATTATTATTCCCATCTTACCAACCACAAACTGAGTCTTCAGAAGGAGTAGTTACTTCCCCGAGGTCATGACATGTCCCTTTGAAGTGTGGGAGCTGAAATTTTCACCACATAAAACTCTACAGCTCCCAGCTTTTTTTTGGGGGGGGGCTTAGACTGCGGAGGCCTTCTGGAGGATGGGAGATGGGCTTTAGGTAGAGACTTGAAATCAGAAAACAAACAAAAAGCTCAAGCCAGGTTGGAAATTAAAATGCTGGGGATCACTCAGAGGTTGTAATTTTCCTTCCTTTCTGTGAATTTCAGTTTAAGTGTCTAAAAATAAGTTCTTGGCAGCAGGGGTTGTGTAGTTAGATTGGGAGGGAAGGCAATGCTCCTTCCTCACTTCCCTGGGCATGTTGAGGGGGACACACAGGGGCCTCCACGAGGGCCAGGTGCCCCTTTCCCCTTTAGTCCCTGGGGCCAAAGATGCTGCAGTTGGCTCTTCTTGAGACTGTAGTGGTCTAGGTGGGGAGTGCTTTCCTTTGCTCTGCCTAGGATCTTTGCAAGCAGTATAGACGGGCAGCTGAGAGCCAGCTTAAACATTTTCACTACTGTTGGTTACAAATGTTCAGAAACATCTATAAATTACAAAAAACTTTTTAAACAGTTGGTTTCCTTCTCCTCCTTGGTTGGGCCTGCTCCTGGAAAGAAGGTCAAAGAGATAATAGCCAATTCTTTCAGGGGAAGGCAGATGAATTCTTTGAACTGGGAGGGAAGACTTTCCTTCTCTCTTTTTCTTTAGAATTCAGCTATCATTAAGTTTAAAAATAACCCTACACCCCTTAAAAGTATGTAAGGGCTAATTTTCTCTCGCCTTCACAGTATTGATTGTTGGACTCAAGCACCCGAAAGGCATAGCATCCAAGCAATTCTTTTCTCTAAAGACAGAAAGCACTTTTATCCCAAGTAATATAAGGAAATGAGTTAAGAATTTCCCATTGATTTGCAGTGAAAGAGTCCATTTTTGGTATAGGAGGAAGAATAAGGATGCTCTTTTACAGCATAAATTTCTTTTGCAGGACATAATCAAGTGGAAAATGCTTCATATTCTGAGAAACACAGGCTGATCATTTCTGAGACACATTTGTCCCTTGCTCTTTGTAGCCTGGAGTAATCTTCAGTGTGGCTGTCATTTGGTCTAGTCTCTATGTGCAGAGAACTACTAATTAAAATCCACACAGTATAAAAAACTGCCTAAACACATATCCCTCAAAGTTAGTGTCTGTAAAAGTGTATAAGATGCACCATTGCTTGTTGAAAAGAGTTTGGGCTTTGGAGTAGAATTCTAGACTAGTAGAATTTCTAGGCTGTGTGTGCCATGACTAGATAGATAAGAAACAGAGTTATCTTTGGCAATCCACTCTATTTCTTTGAGTCTTAGTTTCCATGTATTTTATTTAAATTCAATTAATTAACATATAATATATTATTTGTTTCAGGGGTACAGGTCTGTGCTTCATCAGTCTTATATTACCCAGTGCTCATTACAACACATACCCTCCCCAGTGTCCATCACCCAGTTGCCCCATCCCTCCACCCTTTTCCCCTCCAGCAACACTCAGTTTGTTTCCTAAGATTAAGGGTCTCTTACAGTTTGTCTCCCTCTCTGGTTTTGTCTTGTTTCATTTTTTCCTCTTTTCATAGGGATAATAACATTTACCTTGCAGCGTTGGTATAGGTTTAAATAAAAAAAATGATGCCAAGTGTTTGGCACATTTACCCAGTCAATGGTGTTATTATAATTGTCATGAATTATAATTTTCTGTATATGTTACAACTTAAATAAGGACTTCTGGCCAGCCCATAAGAATTTGGAACATTTTGCCTGCCAAATTTGCAGAGCAACATTACAGGGCAATATACTACCCCCACCCCCCATCTTCTTTACATTGAACCTAATAAATAGGGACGAGGAGTTTTAAAAGATAAAAGTATCATGCTTTGTTAAGTCAAAAAATTTTTTGTACTCTGCATCTATAATAAAATCTGTTGTTTTAAACGTGGATTTTTAGTTTGTGGGTAGTGTATGTTTTTAAAATATTAGGTCAGCCAGAGGCCTTTATTATGTTAAGAATGCATAACTTTTGCAAACAGGTGGCTGTGTTTTCTGGTCTAAAATACCTTCTGCACAGGGCCACCTGGGGGGCTCAGTCGTTAAGCGTCTGCCTTCAGCTCAGGTCATGATCCCAGGGTCCTGGGATCGAGCCCCGCATCGGGCTCCCTGCTCCGCAGGAAGCCTGCTTCTCCCTCTTCCACTCCCCCCTGCTTGTGTTCCCTCTCTTGCTGTGTCTCTCTCTGTCAAATAAATAAATAAAATCTTAAAAAAAAAATCTGCACAAATAGAAATATATGTACACAAATACACAATATGCACTTATGTGTGGAGATAAATGCACATTCATAAACTGTGATGTCATGTATATCTATAAATTTATACACATATTCACATATACATATATATCAATAATTACAATCAGATAATTGACCAATATTTAATGAATGACTGTTATACACCAGATATGAGTTAGGCCCTGGGAGTTGGCAGGGAACAGGATGGACAGATTGCTTTCTCTGAGACAACTTACCTTCTACTGGGGGGTCTGACAAAAACAAATGAGTAAAGCAATAGGATGATTTAAAGTACAGTTAAATGCTATGAGGACAAAGGAAAGTGTTTTGTTATGTGTATAAGCATTAGAATTTCAGATTACATTTTGCCCTCTGTGCTTTCATTTACTTTTGTGATTTTCTTCTCTTGGCTCAGACCTTAAGTACGACTTCTCAGAGGGGAACCTTGACAAATCTCATAGGAGAAGGCAGCAAGAAAGTCACAGGACTGCAAAGGTTTTGAACTAGAGAGGAGGTTTTCATAACATCCACATGGCAACAGAAAGATAAAGGAATCAATTGACCATATCATAGAAATATTGGAGAGTTTCTGTGCAACTCTTGTTGCTTCTGAACGAGTAGTCAAGCAGTGTGGGGAAATGCTGAACCAAAGTGGCATTTGTCTCTTCCATCAGGGCCTTACCCACTTCATTTGCTTCTCTGAAAGAAACTTTAGCTCACAATTTATGCTCAAGACTTTATCCTTGGTGTCAGACATAGTAATAATGACAACAGTAACAATAACAAAACTGACAAATTATTAGGAGCTTATAATGTGCATGACACTATACTAAGTGCTTTACATGTACTGTCTCATTTAATTCTCCTAACAACCTTGTATAAGTGGATACATTAACATCCACATTTGTAGAGAGAAACATGCCCAGGTCCCTGCCATCAAGGGATTTGCTGTAATCCCAGGGCCAGGCATATGTGTGTATAATTAACTAACCAGCTGGACATAGGGCCATCAAAGAGAGGCAGCATAGCAGAGAGTAAAACTTATGGACTCGGGAGCTGTCAGAGCATGGTTGGAATCCCAGCTGTATCCCTTTCTGGTTGTATGATCATTGGTAAGTTCAACCCTCAGAGCTTCAGTCTCCCCATTTGTAAAAGGGGTTGTGTAATAATTTTACAAGTTCGCAGTGCAAGTTACATGGTGGCATATTGCAAGCACCTAGAACGATGCTTGCCACATACTTCTGTTCAATGCATGGTCGTTATAACAAGAGAAACATGAGCAAAGTGCTGGGGAAGTTCACAGAGCATGGCTTTTAATTCTGCTGGAAGGAGGGAAATCAGAGAGGAGGTGGTGTTTGCGCTAATCCTTAAAGGATGGTAAAATTGGGTGGTAGTAAGAGTTGAGGGCAGAAGGATATTCAAGGCAGGGAGAACAGCAAAGGCCAAAGCAGGGAGATGTGGAAATTCTTGATGTGCTTCCTGTATGGAAAGGTATTAGTTTTCCCACAGAGAATGTAGTAAGAAGGTAGACTGGGAGGTAGATGGAGGCCAGGTCACCATCTCTGAATGGGCTTGAGGTGTGGTTTGTGAAAAATGAACAAGCATCAAGGAAGTATCCGGGGGTACCGGCCGTGTGTCAGCTGTCAGCAGAGTTGGCACCTCACTGTTACTGGTGGACTGGGGGATAGAGGATAACACACCCAAGTGCTCTGAAAATTCTGTATATTCACTGGGTGCTAACCATTACTCTAAGCCGCGATGTTCCTCCTTCCTTTCCCAAATTCTGAACAAAATACTACTCTAAGCGTTTCTAGCTTTATGTACCTTCATTTCTGTCCATATTTTTGAATCTGTGGACCCCAGAAGCTTCAGATATTTCCACAGCTGCCCTGGTGGCCAAAGAAGTGCCCTGGGGGGAGGGGGAGGGGAGGGAGGCAGGTGCAGCACTATGTGTTTATGGGATGTAAGGCTTATGTTTGTTAAGGTGGAGATTTATGGAATTCACTTTAAAAGTA